CGCAGGCAGCTCATCTAGAGCCTGGGGGCTCTGAGCTAAGGAACAAGACCTGAAGCACAGCCAGACTTGGAAGCATTGGGCTCAGATAAGTTGTTCCCTAATTAGCGGCTGCACCTGATTTTAATTGAATGGAATTTTAGCCAAATGTGTTTTTTCCAAGTTTTGCAGGCTGAGTGTTTGTTCAGAGACAGATCTTTGCATTCAGTCTGTAATGGATTTGGTGCTTTTGTTTCTTGGGCAAGAGTGTTCAGAGTAACTGTGTGTTATTGCTTTGAGTTGTTTTAAATAGCTTTTTGGGTTTTTTTCCTTCTCTGATTTGAATGTAGAAAAGGAGAAACAGAGTGTTCTCTTCCCTTCTCTTAATCCTTGCATGAATTGAGATGTGTTCCAGATCTCTCTGCTGCCTGGAATGAGTGCCCGAGGAGTTTTGGGCATGCTGATTTGGAAAGGGAGGGTGCCTGTGTGCTGGCCAAGGAGATCCATTGCCTTTAGCTCCGAGAAAGGAGACAAAGTCGAACAGGAATATTCTCTAGTCCTTCTTTAGGACTTCTTTACTACGGCAAATTCCCCAATTTTTCTTTTTATTCTTCTCAAATTCCTTGCTTTTATTTTCAAGTCATGTTTCTCATTGTTCCTTAATGCCAAACATTAATATGCTTTTTGTTTTCTTGCCTACTCTCCCTCCCTCCCTGCTGCTGCACCTTTAGTCCCGCACTAGCACTTCAAGAAAATCAGGTCCAGTGAAATGCATCCAAAATGACAAAATCGCAGCTTTCCTCGTGGTGCCCGAACAGGCCAACTAGGTTTCCCACTCCCCGGCAGAGATGCTTGGGGAGGGGGGTGGCAAGAAGTTAAAGGCACACGATGATGGGCCAGAAGGTTTTTTTGAAAGGTTCTTGAACTACTTGTCCAGCCGAGCGCCTTTGCTTCTCCCAGCCCCTTTCCTCCACAAGCTGGGAAATGCTGCTGCTGCTTCTCTCCTCTTTCGGTACCTCCACGTGCTGCCCACTCGCTCTGCGAAAGCGGCTGCTGGCTGGGTAGGCAGCTCGGGGGGGAGCTTGTCCTTCTGGGAGGCCTGGAGGGGTCAGTTAGGGAACCTGAATGTGGGAGAGGTGGGACCTGAGGTGGCTTCTTGCAAACCCCTTTGCCCTGCATGCCCCGGGCAGACCTCTGCCGCTTCCCCGGGAAGGCAGAGCTGCCCGAGAGCCGCCTGGTGGTTGGCAGGACCGTGGTGGGAGGATCAGGAGAGGAGTCGCAGCCTCCTGAGGCATGAAGTCACTGAAAGCCATGGTGTGGGTAGCGTTGGTACTTCGTGGAAGCTCTCCAAAAGCGGTTTTGTAGCTTCTGTGGAAAAACAGTGGTACTTCTGTTAACTTTTTGCTGCCTTCTGCCTAGAAGGATTTGAGCACTATCATCTTCACCCTCTGGTGTCTTTAACACAAAAGCAGATGAGGCATGAAAGGAAACTTCGAGCAGAAGCACTGTGGCAACCCTGAGCAAGTCAGGTGCCAGTCCTGGGCGGGCAGGAGGGGGAGGAAATGCGGTGGGATACTTCCCACGCTGCTTCCCCAGTGCCTGTCCCGGGTACTTGGGCTCTGCAGAGAGCCAGGGTGTATGTTACGGACCTGGACTGGGCCAGAGGAGGAGGTGGCCTTCCTACAAACCAGCCTTTTTTTTTTATTGTAGGGGCTGATTCCTCCCGCTATCCCCATCTCCCCCGTAAATGCCATGTGATGCAGAGTTTCCCAGCACTGTTCACTGCCTGCGTGGTCTATGCATATATTAGCACAAACACTGTTAAATGCCTTTTGTCAAGACGTGTCCTCACCATCGGTGTGTGCGTGTATGTGTGTGTGTCGATTTTGACTGCTTTTCTTGGATCTGGAGTTCTATTTTATTGCAGTGAAGACACTTTGTTATATAATGTTTATATATTTTAAGATTTGTGCCAAGAGAGGATGTATATTTAATAAAAAATTATAATTGACTTTGCAGGCGCCTTCTAAGGGTGTTTCCTACTCTACGTTGCTGATGTTTTTGGATTTATTGAGGGACTGAACATGGGGGGGTCTGGGTTGGGGGTACCTCGTGTGGCTGGGGACACAGCCAGCCCCACAAGAGTCCCCTGCGCGTGGAGCACCCTCCGAAGTGCACGGGTCGGCGCTTTGGGCTTTGCGCGGGAGTTGGGAGAAGCCTGAAGGAAGGGAAGCAACTGGAGATGCTCCACAAACTGCGGTTCCCCCCGAGGAGGCCTGTACCGTCCCCAGCGCCGCAGTGCGGGACGGGGACGGGTGTGCAATGGCAGCAGGTGGCACTGTCGGCTCAGGCATGGCCCGGTGGCTTCCCCGAAGTTGGGGGTCCCCCGGTTGCTGCTCAGCCCTGGTCAGCT